GGCTGTAGGTTCTAAGTTTTGGCTGGGGAAGAGAGATCTCAGAACTTGCATTTTAAATTACATAAATCCTAATTAAGGATAAAAATCCTTGTAGTTTCTCAAATGCTATTTTCCAACACAAGTAGCTTTAATGTCTGGCTTAATAATGTATTTTTTTCCCCTTCAGGAAAGAACTATCCAACATGAATTTGGTAACTGCATAATACTTCTGTCCAGACCTTTTTAACAAGAATCTTCGTAAGATATTAGGATGTTTTTTCATCATCTCCAAATGACTTGTATTTTAATATTTTCTTTTCATACTTTGGAAGACCCTAATGTGCAGATCAGCATCCCCAGGGTTCCACTTGCTTCATCTCCCCTGTCTTTGTGATCTATTCAAAAGTGTAAATTGCTGGCATCTGGTTGAGGCTGGTCCCAACTGTTGATAGGATACACAAGATTTATTGACTGCTGGATTCTTAAGAAGAGCCAACTCCTAGTTAGCATGGATGAGCGGAGCCTGTGCACGAAAAAGGGAGTGGGCTGATATGGCCGTATGAACCCATGCTGAGCTAGAGACGTGTTGGGGAATACCGTCTAACCCGTGCTGCTTCTGCTGGTCTGGCTGTGCAGCATGCTTTGATGAGCGGCAAGCTGGACTGTTAATTTGTAGCTATGAATTTGAACTTAAAGAGGCTGGTCACAGCTTTCTGAACTTTTGATATTTTACAAGGATGTTTCCTATGTGTAGAACTATAGTTCAGAACAGCTAATTTAGTGAGGATGTGGAAAGGAGCCTTTTTGTTCCCACAGGCTGCTTGCTGTTACCAACAAGCTCCAGCACACCTTCCATGCCGGGTTAGCAGTGAGCAGCTAGAGGACCTGACATTTAATTTTTCCCACAGATTCTGATCATTAAGGAAGAAAACAGTTGGGAGGGATGTTTCTCAATCTAGAACTCACACTGACTGTGGCCAAGACAGGGTATGGCTTCAGTACAAGTAGTAGTTGACTGGAACCATCAAAATCATTCACAAGTGAATTCAGACTTTTCCATTTAATTCTCAGGCTTATGTGTGGAAATGAGTATGTTCAGGATTTGCCAATTTCTGCAGACATTGTGTTGCTTTGGACAGCTCTTCTTGATGTAGTTGTGTTCCCAGTCGGATTACGTCAGCTAGCTTCCTCTTTGTAGGCACGAAGGAAAGATTGCTTGTCTAGGGAGTACTCAGGTGGGACAGAGTTGCTTTTCTCCATTGCTTCTCCTGTTCTTTCACATTCATTTCACCTTGTATGCACATATTGCTACATTTTGTTCTGCTCTGGGTCATGCTTTATATAAATTGTTTTGTGGGACAGTTTATATTTAAGCTTTACAGAACTGCCTTCACTATGCTGTTACCTGATTAGTAGCTGTGAATGAAGCAAGTGAAAGTTGGTGTAGGTGTTTGGGATGGATCCATGGTAAGGCTGAGTGGGAAGATGAAGTGGAAAGCTGGTGGGCATGTGAAGCATCTTCAGAGTCTGTAATGGTGGAAAAAAGGTGTTAGGATTTTTGAGGAAGGTGAAGTTTGGGAGTTTACTGTTGCTGACAAGGAGGGGGAAAGATGTCAGGTACTTTTGGAAATACTAGTAGAGGCATTAATACTTCTCCAAGCATTTTAACATGGTTAGAGGCGATAAAGGTGGGTGTTAGTGTTCTGTGTTCCCTATACGTACAGATTATCCTGGGGAGATCTGTATGCTGTTTGTATAGAAATCATCCCAGTGGAAGAGCAAGACTGAGACAGCTCTGGAAAAGCCCTAGTGCAGCTGGCCACAGGGGAGACCAGAAGCCTGAGAAAATGTGTAGCTTATGCTGATGTAAAGGTTTGCCTCTTGCTTTTCAGTTCTTGGAATGGGCAGGAACAGGGAGAGCAGAGAGAGTTGGTTTTCTGCTTGCAAGGGATCTGGATGCAGTACTGCCACAGCTGATCTGAGCTGTTGAAGTGTGTGGCGGGTGCAGTATGTGACTGCTGGAAGAAGGCAGGTTTTTTTCTTACAAGTAAATGTTGCAAACACAGGGATCCTGTGAAATCTCTTGAACAATGAACAGTAGCAAAGATCACTGCCCATCTACAGAAACACACTTGCATGCAGAAAATGTGTTTACACATGACAAAAGCAAACAGATACCTAGACTACAGCTGTGTATTAATCAGAAATGAGGCCATTTTCTGTAGCTTGTGGGGTTTTTTCCTCCATCCTTCATTTCTGTGACAGAGCACGAGATATCCATTGAAATATGATTATAAACTTGGCGCACTAGATGTTTATGCTGTAAAATAAAGAATTATAATGTGTTTGTATGCATTACCCTGTACTTACAGGGACTTCAGAAGAAGAGAGGGTTTGCTTGACTAACTCTCTGGACTGGAAGGCAGTCATATGATAGCATAGTCAGCTTCAGATAGAAGACAGAAGTTCATGGATCCTTCATGATGGCGAGCTGTACTTTCAATCAACAGAAAGGGTAGAAGAGCAGCTTTTGGGTACTTTTCTACTTTTGACAAATAAGGAGCTGAAGAAAAAACATCAAGAGGAATGACCATCTTGCAGAGGAGGATTGTTTAGCCCAGAGCTAGCAGGGGAAAGGCTGTATGTCATGCTTTCTTAAGTGGCTTTGCTAGGCTGTGCCAGCGACACCTCCTGCAGCTGCAGCCCCTGGGGCACTGTCATTCCCACCTCTGCTTTGCTTCCTCTCTAGTGCAAGTCAAAAAATTGTTTCTGGTTTCAAGTAATGCTTTTGGGCAAGAACTGTTTTTAACTGACACTGTATTGGTGATGCAGCCAAGAGTCGAGTTGAATGGCAGTACTGGCATGGTAAGGGGTGGATAGTAGCTGAGGAAGGATACCCCTTAAGAAAGCACTATTGCAGCAGAAAATGTATGTGGAAATGCATATTGAATACCATTAATAATACCTTCTCTTTAAGGGCTTAATGGTAGTCTCTTACCTTTCTGAAAATTGCAAATTACAGTTGAATGGTTCTATAGATAGTAGCGTTGGGGGAGGGGGGTGTGCAAAGAAACCTTTGAGCATGGCAAGTATAACTTGTCCAAATGCAACTGAAATTGATAGGAAGGCTTGACAGTTTGAATAGAATTGCCCAGACTTTGAGTTTCCAACCGTAAATTCTGTATGATGCTGGAAGTTGAACCTTCCCTGCAGTTGAACGGCATCTCTTGTATCATAGATTGAAGATGTCTTTTGTATTTTAGGAAGATGTGAATTTGACTTGCATTATGAAAAGCTCTGTAATTATTTTGTATTCAGGATTTTGAGATTTTTTTTTTTTTAAAAAAAAAAAGAAGAAACAGCCCACGGTTTAGACCATAAAGCTCTTCTAATGGTATTATATTGATTACTGAAAGTTGCCATTATTTTAACCATGCTGCTTTTTGGTTTAAGGTAGGTTTGTTACTGTTTGATCTCAAGCACTGATTTCAGTGTGATTCAAGTGAAAAGTCCAATTCCTGAACTGTAGTAAAGCAAAAAGTCCCTTTGTTATCTACCTGTACTGACTGATTTTAGAACACATTTTTAAGTTGTTGATGTCTGTATGCATGCTCTTTGCTTTCTTACTTGGAGCAGAAATCAGAGCTGTAGATGTCTGTGGTCTAGTCTACAAGAATCCTAGAAGGATAAGAGGATGAGGGAGAATATTTTGAAAGTGCTTATTGATTTGAAATTATGAAGTCGACTTAAAAACTGCTTTGCTTCATTGTTACTGTCATTGACAGTACAGCTCAGTTTGTCAAATTACTGCTGTTGCAGACTGCCAAATAAGTGTCTTCCTCCTGGCATGATTCTTCTTTCCCCATCCGCTCCATTTTGCCATGATTCACTCACATTTCAAGTTTTACCTTTAAAAGAAACTGTTTGCAAAATAAATGGAAAATACTCAGATAAATCAAGAGATGTTTTTTGTGTATAATACAGCGTTCTAACTTTTAGCCACTGATCTTGTCCCTACTTTATTCTAGTGCTGCAGCCTTTTTTTTCCCTGAGATCTCTCATTAGCATATTCTGGGTGAAGTCGTGCGCTGTATCTGCCATAGCATGAAGTGTTCCTAGGTTGATGGATGGCTGGCTTTAATGATCTTGATTCTTGCCCATGGGAAAAGCCAGAAATGATGCAGGTGTAATTTAGATAACTCTGGGGTGAACTACCTAAATTGAAAACCTTCTCCTCCACTGCCTTTGGCAAGAATCTCTCCACCAAGTTAATCATTTTTCTTGCCTTAAATGCCTGCATTAGAGGGTTCTTGTAAGTTCTTAGAAGAAAGTCCCATCCTAGAGTTGATGCAACGTCCTTTAAAATTGCTCCTTTCCCTTTGTGGGCTAGAAGTGTTGCTCTGTATTATGCTCTTTAATGTGTTGCAAAAATCTAGAATGATAAAACGTTAAAATAGGTGAAAAAGAAAAAAATTCTTGGGAGACCATAGGAAATTTTTCTTTTGAGATGCAATGGAGTGCTACTCACTTGTAAATTTAGATAATATTGCAACATTTATTACTTGTGTCATATATCCAGTGCCAAGTTGTGCGTCATGGGTATTTGATAAACTGATAACAGAACCTGAAAATCTAGTTTTTATGTTTAAAAGCAATATATATCTTAGAAATGTTTGACAATCAGAAACAAATTGTTCCAATTTAGTAGTTTCAATCATACTTTGATTAGGAAGATATAGTGCTTTTATGGTTTTTTCAGTATGGATTAGGTTAATTTCTAAGTCTTCATACACCAGGTTTTGTAATTCAGCATTTTTACTGCAAGTGAGAGTTGAAATCTATGCAACCATTTTCTTCTATAGTCAAAAAAGAGCACACTGAGTTTTAATGCTATAACAAATATTACACAGTAGGACTCTTCAGTCAGTCTGGATTGTGGATTTGTGAAAATAAAAAGGAGGATTCATTAGACTGTCAGAACTGCAAAATGAAATTCAGTTATGGTCTATGTTTCTCTTTAGATCTCATAAATGGAGCCCAAGAACAGTGTGAATTGCCTCCTATGGATGGTTTTCCTCACTGTGAAGGGAAAATAAAGGTAACTGAACAGTTTTTAATCTTGTTGTGTGCATTCTGTTAAAAACTGAACGTATGTTGCAAGAGGTCAGTACTCAGACAATGGTGTAAAACAAGAACAACTGGGTCAAAAAAGAAAAGAGGATATTTAGGTGTGTGTGTCACTACAGCACTGCTCACCTCAAGCCTTTAGTACTACTGCTGCAGAGGGATAAAATGGCATCCTGTTAAGACAGGCATAAAATGCCATATTATACTAAAATGCTATATTAATTAATAAAATGCCTCATTATTTGAATGCTGTCTTGTTATTCAGAAACTTTCTTCTCCTTTTTGAAAAGCCCTGTTTTCTTCCCCATTCTGAGTCATTTGGCGTTCCCCTACCCGAGGACTGGGATTCTTTGTGTACCTCTCTAGTCCTTCCCCTGTTTCAGCAAGACATGGGTTTACAGTTCTTTCCCCTCATTGCCAAGAGCTCTGTCCGGTTCCGCCCTTCCGCTTTTCTGTTAAAAGCATTCTGCCTCTTCTGCTCACAAGCTGGGCACTGCACCAAGGGCGCAAGCAGAACTTTGGGGTTCACAGCTGATTCTATGTAAATCCTATATTTTACTAATAATGTGGTTGGAAAGGCCAAATGTTGAAAGCCATCAGACTTTGGTGGGAAAGTGAACAAAAAAAAAAAACCCCAAAACTTGCAGAGATTGAGGTTTGAGGTTTTTTTTTTCCCCAAGATATATTTCAAATGCAAGGACACTGTTTTAGTAGTTGGGGGCAAAAGTAAAATTGTTGGACACCTAAATACCGTTATCAAGTATTACAATTTATTTCTGACAGTGAAAAGAAATAGCTGCCGAAGTATATGTGAAATAATGTTCCCTTTTTTTCTCTAAGTAAAATTCTTAGACTATAGTACGTAAAAAAACCCAAAACTGTATTAAATCTCTGGTCTGTGTTTTGATCCATTTTGACAAACTGGCTGCATAGTGGCTATGCAATACATTATTTGAATATCAAAATATGAATTTAAATGAATTGCTTCTGCAGAAATGGCATATTCTTGTCAGAATCGGGCAGATTTCAATGTTGGTGGTTGAAATGATCTGTTAATTTCCAGAGCAAGTGTAAGGTGGAGGGGCAATGCAGTCAACGCCAGCCACACCCATGTGTCTGGACCTTGGTTGTATTTTCCTTTTGGTACTTGCCTCTGCTTGCCTGGCTACCAGTCTGTGTAACCTGTGCTCACATCTGGTATGTAGTTACTTCCTCAGTGTAGCTGAATGCAGATATGCATTGTGCTGCAAAATATTTATGAAATTCGTTTTTTGTTATTTGTGATTTTTATCTGATTGGATTTAGTCGCTTGCAGCTTCCCCCTGTTATTCCTGAGTTCAGTGTGAAATAGTATAGACATTACTTAGTACTTAAACCTCACAGAGTGTTTTTGTTCTGTTACAGTGGATGAAAGATATGTGGCGATCGGATCCCTGTTATGCAAGTTACGGTGTAGATGGGTCCACATGCTCCTTCTTTATTTACCTCAGTGAGGTTAGTAATCTTTTAATCTGCAGAAGGGGCACATCCTAGTGCCTCGATATTTTTGGTAATTGTTGGCAAACTTTTCTCAAAAGAAATCATAACTTCAGAAGAATTCTGTGAGGAGGAAAAAGCTATTAAAACAGAATTATTATGAAGAGTGTTGCTAGTATTCATAAATCCCCCAGGTGTTTCTAGCCTGGAGAGTTCTAATGTTTATAACGGAAGTGGTGTAGACAGCAGCTGTCCACACTAGGTATCCTACTTCTGTTGCTTTCTGTGTAGCTCCTGGGTAGCAATAGGGAGGCATTTGGGATGTAAAATTGGGAAAGTGGAACTCGATGGTACATCCTCCTAACAAGTGTGATTCCTGCTTGGGTACTATTCAGGAATTGCAGAGGCTGGTAACAGAAGACAAAAAACAAAAACAAAAAAAAAGTGGAAGTCATGTTTTTGAGTGAAGTTGCAGCTATATTAGCACTTGACCTTTCTTATTAGTAAAATTTTGATAACTTATAGCAACTGATCTTGGAAGTAGAATTGTTACCTAGAGGCTTACTGCTTGTAAGAACTGCCAGAGCCAATGTGGTTGCAGAGTTGCAAACTAGTATTAACTGTGTAGTTTCTGCAGGATTTGCGGGGAGAGGCTGGGTTCTTAAATTATGTATCTGAGATTAAACAGTAAGTATTATGTAAGTAACTCGGCTGTAATGAAAGCAGTTTTAATTTACTCAGTTGGCTGTCATTGAACTTTTTGGGGCATTGCTTTAAGCAGCAGTAATAGTTAAATGTATATCCAGAACACATATCTGAAGAAATAAAAGGCTGGGTTGAATCACAGTTTTGACTCATTCCATTGCTATTACCAAGTGTTGATTTATTTATGGGCTATAACACTGGGAAAGGAAAAGGTACAGGATGACTATATTGTTTATCCTGTTATTTATCAGAGAAGCTAGAGATATGGTTTCATAATCATCTGAAGTTGATCTAAGTTTCTACTAAAAGGTTATGTTTTAGCATCAGCAAAGTTACATTTGCACAGTAGTCTTCTGTTAACCAGCTGGTGCTTCATGTTTTTAATGCAGATGTATCTTAAAAATAAGGATACATGTCAACTGAATGTGAGATTCTGATATTCTTAAATGACATTTATGATTTTGTATTTCTGTTAATTCACAGTATTTTCTGTGGCAATCTGATCATCAATTTTGAAAACTCAGTTGATGCTGTTAGTTTTTTCATAATTGATCTTTCAGCTCATCCTCATGGCAAAGTGCAAGCAGATTTACAGAGGCCAAATGCTTGTTTTTTCAAGGGTCTAGGGATTTGAAATTTTTATTTAAGCAGCAATATTGAATATGGGCAACATCTCATTTCATAATGGAACAACAGTACAATTGGTCTGTGTGTATATTTGGAAACTTCAGACAAAAGTCTTGTATTTTTTTAAAATGTTCTCCCTTCACAGAATGTAAAACTGATATTGGGTGAGCATGTTATTAACCTTCAGTTTAAATTTGGCATGCTTAATCCTATGATTAATTCCATGATTAATGCCCAGCAGCAGAGGTTGAAAGCTTAAATGTTTGTGAATGCAAGCATGAAATGAAATTCTAATAACACTACAATGATGTGGATTTATGAGGTGTGTTGGCTGCTAAGGATAACTTGGAAATGCTGTTGCGAGAGTAATTTGTCAAAACGGACAGCGATGAAGAGTTGACAGTTTATAGTATGGTTGTACAGCTGAATGATAAATGTGTCTGCAGAGCTCTTAAGTCAAACCTGCTGATTTAAAATATTAAAATGCATTAGAGTGCTGGAAGGATATTACTGTTAAGATTTTTCTTTTTTACATTAAGGTTACAGTATAGGAGTAAGATGGTTGTGTGTGCATACTCTGTTTGAGAAGGCAATATATGCATCAGATTGTGCACAACCTAAGTATGAAAAGACAGAATATGCAAATTGTACATATATCTACTTTTGCCCTTAAAATTGTCTCTAGAATCTCGTGTGACAAGCACCTGGGCTTGTTCATACTGTTTTGGGGTCTACTTTTTTCTTCTGAAGCCATTCAGTTAAGGCCTATGTTACACTCATCTAGCACTCTTTGTCATGCAATTTTAAACTTCTAAACAAAGCAGCCCAAAATACTACGTTTTGGCGCGTAATATGGCTCAGAACCACAGAGACACAAAGGAACTTGCCCACAGTTTATGCGAAGGTTTAGAAACAAAGCTTGGAATAAAGCTTTGGGTATCTGTCCTGCGCCCTCGTTACGTTTCTGCCATGTGTATCTGCAAAATAGGAACAGGGCAGTCAAAATCTAGGCTGCCCCAAGTCTTCTCTTCTGCAGCACCTGCACAAACACAAGTGCTAGAGTTTGTGTCTTGGCTGCTTGAGCAGCATGGGAGGTGAGTGTGGCAGCAGAAGGAAAGCAAGAAGCAATTCAAAACATTCAAGCTCATGTTTTTTATTTAAAGCTGTCCCTTGTACAGACTTGCAGATGAAGCGGCAAGGTTATTTGCACTTCTATCTTGCTGTTTTGCTGCAGGCACCGGATCACTGCTGGTGGGTGATAAGCAACTGTGCAGTCCTCATAATGCTAATTGTGCTGGAGCCTTTGAAAGGCTGGAGGAGACACAAATGACCTGAATAGCAAAACCAGCCTTACCTTCTCTTGAATAACAGAGCAAGACAGGGATTAGAAGTAGCAAAAATTGAAAAGCAAGTTAAGCTAACTGTAAGGTTTCTGGATAGTTGGAACTTGTTTCCTTGTAACTGTGGTACAAGCTTGCCCACTGAGAAGAGTTACTTCCTTTTAAACTTAGAATTTCGTTACGAAAAAGCCAGTTGTTTAACACTGTAATGTTACTGGCACAGTTATAATTTTCACGGATGGCATTGCCTCTGGGGAGAAATGTGAAAAAATGAATTTCTAGACAGTACAAAAATATATTTCACTGCAAAATGTCAGTTTGCCACTGAAGAGTGAAGCTTTTAAAAATATCTTCTGGAAAATTAATTTCCACACAGTTTCCCAGCTTAGAAAGAAAAAAAAAAGTGGAGGGGTCTTATCACTCCTTTTCATCATCTAGATAAGTGATTTCTCAGAGAGTACTGCCTGCCACACAGGAATGGGACTGCTGCTGCACCTGCTGGTCAGCCAGGAGCTGCGATGCAAGTTGCCACTGCCCAGGGGTCATTCCACTGACACTCACCTGCTGGGGCTGGGCAGATCGCGTTAAAATCCCAGGCTCTGGATCTCCAGCTCGCCTTTCAGGTGCAAGTATAATTTTTGGTACCCATTTTGGATATGGATCCAGTGCTTCATAAGGCTAAAACTGTTTCAAAGATCAGTCTTTGGGACTCCTGTAGCTTTTGTGCATGTGCTAGTATACCACTAGAGAGAGTTCCCCCTGATTGTGTAGGGAGGGGGTCAGGAGGGCCAAGGCATGGCTGGAGCTGAGTTTGGCAAGGGATGCAAAAAATAACAAGAAGGGCTTCTGCAGGTATGTCAGCCAGAAAAGGAAGGTTAAAGAAAGCGTACGCCCGCGATGAACAAGAGTGGTGACCTACTATCAACAGATGAGGAGAAGGCTGAGGTCTTCACTGGCAGCCTCTCTCCTCACCGCCCCCAAGTCGGTGGACCACAAGATAGGGACCCAGGGGGGTAAAGCCCCTCCGACTGTAAGGGAAGATCAGGTTCATGACCACCTGAGGAACCTGAACATACAGAAGTCTATGGGACCTGATGAGATGCATCCCAGAGTCCTGAGGGAATTGGCTGATGTAGT